CAAGATATCTTAACGTAATTTGGCATGGATTATTTTCCAAGACAACGATACAATATCCGAACGAATGGTTGAAATTGGAMCTCTGTAACATATAGTTGCCATACAAACCGATCAGTCAAAATTTAGTCCTTATATGGGAAACTTTTTTATTTTACAAGATATCTTCAAAATATTTGGTATAGATTATTATTAAGAACAGCGGTATAATCTCCGAATAAATTCTTCAGATCGGCCTACTATAGCTTATAGTTACCATACAAATTGACCGATAAAATGCAAGTCTTTGTATGGAAAATTTTTTTATTTGACAAGATACCTTCACGAAATTTGGTACAGATTATTGGGGAAGGCAAGTCTATAATATCTTAAGAAATTGTTGAAATCTGACAACTATTGCTTATAGCTGCCATACAAACTGGCCAATTAAAATAAAGCACTTGTATGAAAACTTTTGTATTTGTTATATGTGAAGGGTATTATAGTATCGTTTCAACCAATGAAAACTTTTTGTATTTGTTTTTTTGTTTATATTTTTTTGTTTCTAATATTTTTCGTCAGTTCTTCGTAAACGCATGCCCAAACAGATAAGTTTAGCTTCAAACATTCTCTATAGCGATACACTTGCAGTCATGGTTACCAAGATTAACAAAAACTATTTATTTATTTCTATATAAAATTGATGCCGGTTAAAAGTCAAACGCTTAGTTGTAAATATTGTTGTTGTCGTTGTTGTTTTTCAATAAATATACACTTACAAGTATTTGTTTCTAAAAGTGATTTAGTAATTTTAAATGTTGCATGTTCGTAAAGAATTAAAGTTAAAATTTAAAGTAAATATAAAAATCCAATTGTATTTCTAAAAGTTATTGTTTAAAAATATAATATTCAATAATTTTAAAAATATTTTTCGTGAGTAAAACATATTCTAATATGAAATATAATATTGAGCATTATAATAAAAGTCAAATGGTGCGCTGCAGCTTATGAATATTGAAGATTCAAATATGTACATAAACAAAGTAACTACACTTG